AGGCAGGCAGGCAGGCAGGCAGATAATTCTTTTTAGATATTTTAGATCAACTTTCTTTCCTTAATCTGAAGAATTTCACCAAGAGGTAAAATCTCACTAGCAATTTCTCATTATATGAAATATTTTTAAGAACACTTACCTAGAAATAGTGCTTGAATATTTGTTTAGACAAACCACCCATACAGTTGCTTCAACCCATGATGTCAAAATCTGTGACAACTACTTTTTAATATATTTTAAGATGAGTCTATTAATTTAATACATGACTCTTGCTGAGAATTTTTCTGCATCACATTTGTTTGCATTAAACATTCTCTGTATGTATGTAGATCCCAGTTTCCAAAACTGGCACAATGATCTGAATTACTTTTCTTTAAATTCTTAAAATAGCTTTAAGTCTATTATGTTTAAGAGTTTAGAGTCAAAAAAAGACCAAGTACAACTATATTACATAACAAAAAATTAAAAAAATAAAACATAATAGAGAAAATTACTTACTGCAGCACTTTTTCCTGGAAAATTGAAGAAGGCATCAGGTCCGTATTTATGAGGCATATATTTTAACACAGACAACAGCTTTCCGGCATACAGAGGCTATTCAAAGAATGATTTCTTATGATGATGTTGATGATGATAATAATAATAATAATAATAATACAAAATCCAATAAAAGTTATTCAACTTTCAGATCTCTAATAATTTTAGAGGTTTTTCCAGGGATCTCCAGGCAGAAAATCAGGATATAAATAATAATTTATATATAATAATAATTATACATCAGAATAATGCTATTAGCCATAAAAGACAACATCTATTCTATTAAAACTGTTTGAGCTGCCTACAGCCCAGGTAGAGTTTAAGTACTGTACCATATTTAGGTATAGCTAAAAATTAACATTTCCACAAGCTGTCATATATCAGTGCTAATCATGAAGGTAGTGATAGGCAGGAGGAGATGCGGTATGAGATGGGGCAGACCACCCTCTGGAAAGGAGGACTGATCTTCTAAGACCACTCCTTGTTTATAGCATCCTGTCATCATCTGGGATCCAGGTTACTAGGTCCTTGGAGGCCACATGCTCTGGCTGCTACTAGTTAATGCCAGATCTCCTCATCCATGCCTGCAACATCAAAATATGGACAGGCAAACCTGTGTGTTCCTACGTTGGCATCATCTGTGAGCCCATGCAACCAGAGGCACTGTTCTACAGATAACTGGGTGTGAAGCTCTACAATTGAGGCTGGGTGCCAGGCACAAGCTGAAACTGCTACTATTATACTTTCTACCTTTCTACATAGCAGCAAGCTTCTCCAGACTGCTACAGCTTAGTACTCGGATAGCAGTGGAGTTCATGACCTCCATGACAATAAACAATAAAATCGTTTTATATTTTTGGATGATTTTAAACTACCATCATTTGGAAGCAGCCCAGGAATTCATGGCCACTATGACAACAATGGGCTTGTCCCAAATTATCATAGCCTTGACTCAGATGGCAGAACTTATTTTTGACTTGGAGTAAATGTTGTGAACGGAAAGTGGGAGATATTAACATCTGTCCGTGATCATGGTCAGGTTACTCTCTGATTGCTATAGCTGACTACTATCACTCAACCTCACAGGGAGGATGGACCTATTTGATTAATCTATCCCAGACACTCAATGAATCCTCTTGGCTTTCAGAAGATGCTTGGAAAGTTTCTGAGACCCTGGCGGGCATGTCCACTGAGGCCTTTGCCACCAATTGGAATATTCAGGTGGCAGTGGCCTTGAACAATGGCTTCTCTATGTTTGCTGATCCAGAGGAGCTCCTAAATTTATTGAGCAGCTCCAGGAATTCCTAGAGCAACAGAGATTCCTAGAGAGACACTGGCAGAGGATCAGGGGTCTGAATGGACATAGGTAATAGCTCAGATTCAAACTTATTCTGTGGCAATAAGTCAGCAAAACCATCAACATTTCTCCACTGTTACTGCATGTATGAATTGTCAGCCTTGTTAAAATTACGCAGGGAAGAATGGGCCCAAGAAACACATGTTGGCTACTATGAAGAGTTTTCAAGTCATCTGGAGGATAAAATCACTTATATCTACTGAAGGCTGAATGCTGGCTGGAACAGAGATGATCTTGCAAGGTTATATGGCAGGAATTTGAACCTTTAATCCTGAGGAGATAGACAGGGTTCTTTGTAATGTTAGTCTAGCCACTTGTGGGCTGGAACTCTCCCCTTCCTGGTTGGTGAAAACCTCCAGGAAGGAAACACGAGGCTGGCCAAGGCAATGATTAATGCATCCTTGAGAAAGGACATGATGCTTGCCTTAAAGCCATCATCTGACCTAAAAATACTAAATTATTATCAGTCAGTCTTCAACTTACCCTTCTTATGGATTGTTGTTGGCAAGGTGGTAAATCTACAATTGTGAAGAGCCCTGGAGGAAATGATTTCAGTTCTGGGTGTGGTGCGGAGACCACACTGACTACTCTTGTGGAGAACCAGTGATGAGACTAGCACTGTGAAATGCAATTGCCTTGGTCTTGCTGGATCTTTCAGTGGCTTATGAATACATTGATCATGGTATTTTACTGGACTGTCTTTGAGAATTGGGAATGGGAGGCACTGTTTTGTAGTGGTTCTCCTCCTTTCTTAAAGTTAAGTTCTAGTCAATAATATTAAGAAGGAGAAGAAGTCATATGCTAGGATTCTCCATGATGGTTGTATACTCTACACTCTCTCCTCTCCTATTTAATAGCTATATAAAGCCACTGAGTGAGATTATCTGCTGGCACAGGTTCAGGTATCATCAGTTTGTACTTAGGTGATACTCAGCTGTATACCTCTACCCTGTGTATACAATAGAAATGGGGTGAAGGTCTTATCCTTGTGCCTGGAACCTGTTAGCCCCAGCAAGACAAAAAGGTTATGGGTTCAGTAGTCTTCCGACAGCAAGGATATTTCATATTTGGCTCTGGATAGGGTTGTACTGTTCCATACAGAATGGGTTTGTAACTTAGGTACCCCCTTGTATTCACAGTTCCTGCCTAAAGAACAAGTGACATCTGGGGCTAGGAATCCCTTGCACATCTTCAAGGCCCTAGTTTTGTCATTTCCTGGACAGGAGGTCCTGCTCGTAGTTACTTATGCGTTTTGTTTGGATTATTACAATGTGCTCTCCATGGGCTTACCCTTAAAGAGCACCCAAACATTTCAACTGGGCCAGAATGCAGTAGCTTGTAGTGATGGGAACGTCTGTGTTTTCCTATGTAATACATCACTTTCTTCCAAATGCAATTCAAGGTGTAGATCTATTGCAGCTTTAAAGCCCTACCTGGCTTAAAACCAGGTTATCTATGGGATCTGCTCTTTCTAGGTCCCTCTTCTTAAGACAGGTCATCTGCAGGGATGATGGGGACAGGCTTTTCAGTAACTGCCACTCTTATTTTGAATAGCATGCCTCACAAAATTAGTTTGGCTCCCATGAGGAAAGCCATTAAAACTTGGCTCTTCTGAAGAGCCTTGGAATAGAGCAGGGATAAAGGGGATCTTCCTGCTATGGATTTGAATGTCGTAGCCTTTCCTCATGGCACTGTTACTTTTATTTTGTTTGGTTTGTGATGATTTTTATTTGAATAAAATAAAATAAAGCTGGATTCTGCATTGAATCTTGTTAGACAGATGACATATAAGCTGAAATACCTGATTCCCATGTAGTTTCCATCTATTGACCATAAAAATCTATTCAACTCTACTAGTCATAAAAATAAATTTATGATTTTGTATGAAAAAGACATCTATTTCAAATAAATCAAAATTACTACTTTTTACTAATGCATATTTCTACATACCCATTTCCCTTTGTCTCCTTGAAGTTTGCTAAAGTATAGCTTTAATTCCCGAACTGTCACACTGTAGCTTGCTAATACTCCCAGCGTATCAACTAACAGATCTGTGGAAAATGAGTTATTAGGCATTGGTTAATATTCTTTTATTTTTTTCAGAAATGTATCAAAAAGGGTTCCATATCAGTTAATTGGAAGTTACTTCCAATTCTAGGACCATTTAAGAAGTCATACCTGCAATCATATTGTCAGCTTTATCAATCCTCTGAAGCACGTGCTCAATGAGACCCACTTCTGTGCAAACCTGCAGATTTCGTATACTTTTTTTCAGGATGGCTGTAAACATGCTCCATATCTCTGCCTGGCAGGTGACATCACACTTATCCAGCAAGTCCACCATGCATGTTATACTCTCTCCTTCTTGTATAATAAAATTCATTTCCAGATCAAAATGACCACCTACAAGCTTAAGTTTATAGAGAATGAACATCAGTACTTATTTTCAGAATTATCTCTTTAAAATGTATAATATTCAGGATTGGCATTTCTTCCTTGCTATAGATATAAGAGAGTACTAGTAGAAAAGTTACATTAGGCTATACAATTAATTAAGTAGTTGATAATACCTAGTGTAGATAAATCTATACATATTTATCAGGGTACAAATCCTACAAAGCTGAATAAGGCTCCTAACAAAATTTGCATAAAACTGCTGCTTGAACTCCTGTTTTACATTAGCAATATATGAACTAGTGTCAACATATATGATCAATGAATATAAGAACCCAGAACTGGACTATGTACAGGTTATGGTTCTAATTATTCTTTCTATTATTAGTATAATTATTATTTGTATACTAGTGTGTATACAAGTATTGTATACTTTAAATCAATTACCAAAGATTAATAAAACAAAAGAAGCTGTAGTAAGACAAGCCTATGTTTATTCAGTTGTAAGGAACACTTGGCATTTATCTATAATTAAGTACCATCAGGTACAGACACACTAATATACAAAGTTATGTCAGGAGTTTCTCATGGGAAGAAATTCATCCCATTATCTGTGCAACAATAATATGTCTAGCTTATGTAGCTTATGTAAACAAAACAACTTGTGATTGTGTGTTGTGCACTTATACTGCTAATTACTGCCACCTATTGGCGTGTGTATGCTAGTTATCCAGTGGGGGGGTATGGAGTGACAATATAACTGGAGCATTGTATGCCCAGCCCTGCAGTTGCAGTAGAGTGTTAGCCACTATGTAGGTATGTAGTTTTATGGGTTATGTAGTTGTAACAAATAA